TGATTTTGGCTCCATTTGCTTTCCGTTTTCCTCTTCTGGACTGTGGACTTTTCTTTCACGTCCTTTCTTATACTACTTATATCGTTTGTATAAGTAGCACACACCACAACATGAGTCATCTAAATTTTGAGATAACAAAATTCACGTTCTTAAAGTTTCAGGCTTCTTGAGCAATGAATATCCAGATCGTGCACTGATGAGTGTGTCTGGATCTTACATTTCTGTCTGTCTTTTTTAAATAAAGAAGCATTTCATGCTGATGCTTTACCAAAATATATTGCTAGAAACGAATGAACTGTGAAAATATAAGTGAATTCTTAGTATTCTCAACACTTCATTTATTGAAGTAGTTAAAAGAATGAGTTTTTAATACAGACACCTACCTACCTACCCGGTGTACTTCGACATTCTAATTCGAAACTTCCAAATTTAATAACATCGCCATGACTTATTTCCTTATCAACACTAGCTCCATCATAATGTGACAATACACTGTAAGCTCCAGGAATTTGTTTTAACAATCCACTGCCAGTTACATGATCTGCATGTAAGTGAGTATTGATTATTGGACCTAATTTAAGATTTAACTGAGAGATCTGCATTACAATATAATAATAAGAAGAAGAACAAATGAATAGTTTGTTAAAATAATAACAACAGATATTCTATCATGCATGAATAAAATAAAAAAAAAAACTAGGAATCAAAGATGATTGTTTAGTAATCATGCTTAGTAGTATGCTGTGTAAGAAAAAGATGAGGCTTAGTTAGTGATTGAAAGCATAGTGCTAGATAGGCAACACTAGACAACTTTTCCGCCTTATTAAAGAAACCGGTATTAGGAACCCAAATGTGAGTGAGACTATCTCGGAAAAGGATGGTCTTATTAGCCATTCTTATTCCAGGAGACTGGACCGATGGGCAGAACACTTTAGGGATCAGTTCAACTGGCCTCGAGCCACATTTCGGTTGCCCACGATCCACAGTCATCTTGAATTGACAAATCGATGTGAGTCCCCTGACTCTTTACGAATGAACTCTTTATGGATGCCAAACATGGTCGGTAAGAGTAGAAGATGTTCGTAGGTTACTAGTATTCGATCATAGATGTCTCCAAAGCATTGCTCGTATATCGTGGGACAACCAAGCAAGCAATGCTGTCGTTAGGAAACGAGTTCTAGGTAAGGATGGCAGATCAATAGATGAAGTATTGAGACTTCATCAGTTGAGGTGGTTGGGACATGTGTTACGTATGGCTAACCACCGACTGCCTCGACGAGCTATGTTTTGTGGTGTAAGAGTAGGTTGGAAGAAAGTTAGGGGCGGCCAGATCAAAACGTGGCACAAATCCATGAAGTCACTGACAAGTGGACTGAGTTATGTTGGTAGATGTAGACTACCTGGTTGTGGTTCGCGAGACGAAAATCAACGATGGTCAGAGACCTTGAACGACATGGCTCAAAATCGTTTGCAATGGCGCAAGTGCATCCATTCTTTGTGTTCTCTCAAACCCTAATCTTCTGGATTCGTCAGCACCTCTACCTTCTTTGTCTTTCTAACTTTATCTCACTGAATTATTATACTTGTTGAATAATATCTTCGAACCCTAATCTTCTTCATTACCAATAATACCTCTACTATCTTTATCACTATGGAATTAGGTTTGACATTTGCGTCTCTGTGCTAATGTGGTATGGCAATATGAACTTATGTACATACGTACGAAGTTCTACGTTGCAACTGACTGACTGACTGACTGATGACTGAGATTTGATTGGCTTTCTATCATATCAAAACGAAGAGAAAAAATTAGCAGCAACTTAGAGAACCAATTAATGGATTATAATTGCATATAGTTTCATTGTATAATTATTCAGTGACGGAGTTATTGATTTTAAACATTTCTTTTATTACAAGCTTTCTATTGACCAATAAACCATCATTGTACGATTTACTAATCCTATTTTGTTGTTAGTTCATTATTTATAGTCTACCATACTCACAGACACTTTTAGTTCATTCAATCATGATTGTTATTTTCCACTTATTGATGTGATGCAGTTTAGTTTCGTACGCATATATATGAATGTCTGAAATAAAATAACGATCTTGATCGTGGGCTGGTGATCATTGGACTTGTAATCTGCGTTCGAGGCTAGCTAGTATTGGGCCAGCCGTCAAGCATAGAATAGCAAAGAATGTGAGAAGGGTTAGTCTAGAAGAAAAGAGAGAGATGTTATGGGATGTAGGAAGGATTTGAATATAACCAATTCGATCTCGTGTGCTGTTACGGGGTTGAGGGCAGATATCAATTCCAGGGTGCCCATACTGTGGGTGTTTCTAGAGGAATCTGAAAAGGAAGGTAGATTAGTATTGGTCATAGAGATCTGGGAGTGTGACTCCATAGCCCAAGGGATAACTGCTTCATGCAGGCCACGCACGGCCCTTTTACGAGTTTTTAGTATTAGCTCCGCTCTTTTTTTAAAAAGCTTTAACGCCAGAGACGAAAACAGTGAGGTGTGAGATTTCCAGGATCAACCCTTTCCCTCCTTCCTTGTGAGAAGGCAGCATCGCTACAGATGCTGGTTGTCCAAGGGAAATAACTTACTGCTGTCACACCCCTCTATAGTCAGCAGTAGGACTTTGTCCTCATCATTCTCAAATCGACCTGCCTGGCATGGTAGACAAAGGAACATACGTTCCTGCCAATATAGCTCGGTTGGGTCATCACGATAGGCAAGCCCGACCAGCACGTCAACGTAGCAGCTACGGTCGGATCAAACCAAAACATGGCACTAATCCATGAAGTCATTGACAGGTGGACTGAGTCATGTTGGTATATGTAGACTACCTGGTTGGGGTCTGCGAGACGATACTAACCGGTGGTTAGAGACCATGAACGACATGGCTCAAAACCGTTTGCAGTGGCGCAGGTGCGTTCATTCTTTGTGTTCTCTCTAACTGTGACCTTCTGAATTCCTCATTACCTCTATCTTTCTATTTCTAGATTTATTTCACTGAACTATACTTCTTGAATAATATTTTTTAACCCTAATCTTCTCCATTACTGCTAATACTTCTACTATCTCTACCATAATGGATTTGAACCGACGATTGCATTTCTGTGCTAATGTGGTAATGGCAACCTGAACTTATGTACGCACGTGTGAAGTTCTACATGTAACTGACATAAAGTAGCAGTTTACTTGTCCTTTCTGTGTATCGATTACTTAAGGATCGTTCAGTATTGGTCAATGACCCGCCATGGATCACTAAATGTCTCATCACGAAAGAGTGGCAATACTAATAAAACTATCGCTTACAAATCTGCGCGTAGAGATATACATGCAGTTGCTGATCGTAATCACCCAAACAGTAAAAGCTTATGAAGTTTCTAATTAGATTATAATCAACCTCAAAAGAGATGACTTTGGCTCACTTTTAGCTTATAAGTATAAAGTTTGGGGAGATAAAATATAGCATACAAGCGAACGTTGCAGCTACTTTGTCAATCATGGTCTCAAAGCACAACAGGGTGTTTAAAAATCATTAAATGGGTAGTGTTAATGTTAGGAGGTAAGCACCACGTAGATATCTGATGTAGTTAACCTGAATGAGCATGTCAGTTAGTCAGTCAACAACAACACAGAACTTCATATGTACGTACATCAGTTGCAATTTTCAATTCAAATCCCATGGTTGTAGAGGTAGTCGAAGCATTAGCAGTAATCGGAAAGATTAGGGGTCGATGATATTATTCAAGAAGTATAATTCAGTGAAATAAATTTAGAAAGAGGAAGATAGAGGTGATGAGGAGTTGAGATTATTATCTGAGAGAACACAAAGAATGGATGCACCTGCGCCAGTGCACACGGTTTTGAACTATATCATTCACCATCTGTAACCATCGATTACTATCATCTCGCGGACCAAAACCATGTAGTCGACACTTACTAACATGGCTCAGTCCACTTATCAGTGACTTCTTGGATTTGTGCCATGTTTTGGTTTGGTCGCCTCTAGGTGTAAACCTTTTGTGGCACCATAAGAATAGGTAGTGTTTAGATGACGACAGTTTACGTTAATGTGCTTGGTATTTAGTAACCTTTAGAGTTCATTTTCACCTTTTTCTTTTAGTTTGTTTCATTGTTTTGAGTACATAATTTTACTATTGTTTGTCATAAAGTGCAATGACTTTGACAAAAACATTACTTTATTGAATTCTGCACTGTCCAAAATTTAGTCACTTTCTGCATGTTTTTATTTACTAGTTTTAGTTCCTCTCTATATCATTTTGTAAACGGTTTTATTAATGTTATGTGAAATTATGGAGATCGGGACCGGTATATCATGTCACTCAACTAATTTAAGATTTTGATAGAACAATGAGAAGTAGTTGGTCTGAAAAAGTGATGTGTTTAACCTGTACATTTCGAACAATCTGGTTACACATATACTTCTCTATGCATTTTATATGAAAATTAATAAAACGTTAATCAAATAAAAGTTCAAATAAACATCAGGTGATGTATAGTGCAAATACATCACCTTTTTCAGACCAACTGACTGAGTCTTCTCATTGTTCTATCAAAATATGTAAAACGGACCATTGTTTTGATAAAAGATTACATGTATGATTATAATCATTTGAGTTTTGTTTTTATGCACAAAGTGAATCTAAAATGTCAATATCATCAACGAAATGCAATTTAGTGACAAGTCTTATTTACTGGTTTAATCAACTTAACTGGTTTGATGCGTAAGACATGTCTAACCACCTAAGCAACAAAAGGAGAATATGACTTCATAACTAGTAACACACTTAGAGGTCAGCATACCAAAGCTTTGTTAGGACTAACTGGAAATATATTTATTATTTCAGTTAAAAGCTAATAACTAAGCTAACCTACAAGTTTTTTATCTCGTTCAACAGTTTCTAAAACAGGATCGATAAGAACAGCATCTTTGGTACGTGAGTCCGCAAGCAAATAAGTGTAGGTACATGAAGCCTTTTCAAATAATTGACGAAATATCAAAGGACCGCCAGCAGAAAGCACCGGAACTTTGGATGACATCCTATAAATAACAATAAAAATCTATTTCGCAAAACAGTGCGTTTACTAATCAAAATAATTTAAAATCAAAACCGAAAGGTTGAGCAGAATGTAATACACCAAAACTTTATATGATTTGGAACCAGTGAAAGTAGTGAGCTATACGAGACGACAAACTACGGAGTGGTGGTTAGATTTGTTCCTACTTACACATTGCATAGTGTAGTAAACGCCATTTTATTACTAATCAGATAAAAAAAAGATGCACTAGTTCACTTAACTTGACTTCAGAAGTTCCAAAAGAGATGAAGAAACGGTTACTGTTATGTGTATGTCATTTATTACGTGTGTTACGGTAGTTTATAAATGTCATCAAACGTGACGCAAGCTTTGTACGTCTGTGTACACAAAAATAACAACACCGATTGTATCATTCAAGGAAAACATTTGATCAGATTGTCAGATGATTTTCTATCCGGTTACAATAAAACGTTTATACTACTTATAGATAATTCAATAATTGGAGAAAATGCCTATATGAGGTCCTCAAATGCCATGGTATGGTCAAGAGTGGGAAGCGTCCGCTTTTTCTCTCCAAATGACTTCATTCAGCCGGGCGCGTAAAGCCACTGCCAAGGAATTCCTATTGACTGAATTCTCGGGGCGGCACTGTTGTTTACAAAACCGAGGACGAAAAGCGGATGCCTAGTGCTTAAACTGGGTCGATGAGAGAGAGAAGTAATTTGGTTAGTTTGACATTCAATATCTCCGAAGCTTACTCACTGAACTGAAACGAATGTACATGTATCTGGCAAGCTATTGTAGATGATTTACTGGTTCACAAACATAGAAAACCTGTGATTAACAGTTAAGACATGGCCCTATATTAGGAATTTAACTTATCCAGAGTCAGTCGGAGGAGAAAATTATGGCATTTATCAGTTTTGATCTGCCTGAAGCTCACTAGGTCCTGAACCAGAGGTTGGGGAGTTAAGATAACAAATTAAGTTTACATTAATGGTGAATGAGAGTACGAGACGAAACCATTACTGTATGTGCCTGTCTATGGCTGTGATTTCAGCCTTTGGTAAGCTTTCATTTAGCATAAAGGTATCTTGCATCCAGGGTGTGTGAGGAGCAGTATGCGATATTATCCGGAGGGAAAAACGAGGTAAAATGAACCAAAGACCCAGTGAAAGCACTTACTTTTGATCAAGAAAGCGAATGACAACAATCAGAAATAAAACAAATGCTTAAAGTTAAGACCAACTGGCAATGCTAATTACGCTACATGACATTGGTAGACGCGCGCTGGTTGTCCTTGATCTTAGCGATGATTAGCTAGCTCTTGGACATTTACGGATGATTTGGCTGGAGCACAGGAACATTATTTTGACCAGAATCTCCAGGCGTTCTGGAAAGTTTTGAGTTCTCCGAAAAACTACTTAAAAATTTATAGGTTCTTCAGAGATTAGGAAAATTTCGATGGTAAACTCCTAAACAGTTTCAAATTGACTTTCTTTCCAAATAGCAGTAGAAATTTTCCGGAAAAACCACGAAACCGGTGAAGCGCAGTTGCGCCAATAATAATTTATAATGTCAGTGATTTTTTTGAGCGGTTTAAGACGTAACAACAATTGAGGCAGAACTAGGTAAGTTCACTAAGTGTCGTGATTTCTCATAGCTGCTTACAACCATATATGTAACGAAGTTAAAAAACAATGGACAAACTTCCTTTTATTACAACCCATCTGAGTGAAAATGCTTACGTGCTGAAATTTATCTGAAATTATGTGAAACCTAATCCACATGTTGAATATCTTACAGTGAAAAAGAAACCTTGCATTTTCATCTGCAATACGAAGGTGAAGTAACTCCAATTATTAATGTAGCGTTCGTTTTTGTGGGCTTTGTTCGTGAAAATACCTCCATGTACACATCTGTAATTTGTCCTTATTGATTCCTTCAGTTGTATATTTTGTCTGTCTGTTCGATTCCATTTGAGACGATAATATTTGCATTTTATCATAGTTTCTATTTCTTTTGCCTTCACTGTGTTTCCATGTTTCTTTCTGAACTGCGTTTATGTTGTTTAAGCTGATACCTTGCCATGGCGAAGCCACATTGATTTGTTCCTCTTTTGATTGGTTCGCTTGCATAGACTGGAATTGAAGCACCCTTCAACCGCACTTATCAACTTACATATACGTACCAACACATACATCTGATGAACAGAGAAAAAACACATGTCTACACATCCGGGAACGTTCCTGAGAATTTGAGCCTAGGAAGTGCAAAGATTCTAAATACAACAATATCCCGGCGTTTAATTCATACCGGACACGTGGGTGATATTTTCATCTTCATATTCACCAACACCGGAGTGAATTACATGCTCATGAAAGAGGACCTTCCAAATGTCGCATGGCCGCGGGAATGACGGAGGCTGACAGTAGATAATCACTGGCAAACAGTGAGAGACATCATCCAGAATGCTCTCCTAAACAATGTGCCTCAGTAACACCACATACCTCGCAACATAAGAACATAGGTTATGTGTGGCACTGAACGCTTGCTATAGGCGAAGTGGGGAGCCTGGCACAAGTGGAAGGTCTTCTTCAAGGATTCCGATCTTAGTTCTTACCTAGAATTGATAAACACATGCAATACAAAAGTTAGAAGTGATAGGAGACGCTTTCGGATGAAGCTAGCTGTCAAAATACCGGTAAGCCCTAAGCATATGTTTAGGTTCATGACAAAAAGAAAACCTAAGAATCAGGGTTTGTTTTCCTTCAAAGGTCCAAATGGAGATACCACCAACCTACAGATGACTGAGATCTTGAACACCGACTTCACCCATCAGTTAAACAAGGTACACACATGTCCGGAATACTATGAGAACCCAATGCCAGCTGACTTAGTACCAAGGAAACTAAAATCCTTACGCCCTAGAAAGTCATTAGGTTGTGACAATATTGCTCCTACAGTCTTGAAACAGTGTGCAGAAGCCCTCGGTCAACCGATATGTGACCTGTTCAGGCATTCACTGGAGTCACACCAACTCCCAGCTGAATGGAAACAAGCTACTGCCTCTCCAATCTTCAAAGGAAGAGATAGGAATGACACAGACTGTTAAAGACCAGTTGCATTACTACCAGTACCATCGGAAGTAATAGAAGGGCTTATGAACGAACAGATGAAGGAGTACGTGGATAAGAAGCAAATACTCCATGAAGCTCAACACAGGTTGCGGAAAGGCAGGTCGTGCACATCCAGTCTTCTCATGGCATTGGACAGTTTAACATCCTACTTGGACCGTAAAATGCCGTTGCACATAATATTTCTAGATTTTGCAAAAGCCTTGTCACAGTACCCCACTCATGCCGATTTGCAAAGGCTGTGGAAATGCGCTTCACTGACCCATTCCTCTCTTGGCTAAGAAACTACCTTGAGAATAGAAAGTTTCGTACCAAGGTAAATGGAGTGCACACGAGTTGGTGAGCCTCAGCATAGGGAGTTTCACAGGGGTCTAATACTTTTCGTGATATTTATTAGCACGGTTAGCTCGCCGGCAATGATCTACGCAGACGATGGAAGGATTTGCAGTTTCATTAGAAGCAAAGATGATTCGACTGACATCTATTGAGGAATGGGCAGCGATAAGCGGTTTGAAACTAAACCAGCCGAAATGTCATGTTATGTACATTTTGACCCACATGACGCAAATGATTCACACCCTCACAGGAAGCTTGCGCCCTATTATCTCCTCAGATTGCGATCTTGGTTGATAACACACTGAAAGCCTCCACATAAGCGAGAAGTATCCAGGTTACGCAGCCAAGGCAAATGCAACTCTACTTTATGTGAAGTCAGCTTAGAGCTATCACCCCAGAATTATTCTTAACTTTGTTTAAGACATATGCACGCCCACAGCTGGAGGCTTACAACGTTATCGCCTGCCCTTAAAAGAGACATAAATCTCTAGGATCGAGTGCAGAGACGAGCAACACAATTGGTGATAGGGTTTAAGAGTAAAACTTGAGAGATAGACTCCAGCATTTGGGATTATTCTCTCTGAGTTACAGGAGAATCAGAGGTGATCTGATTATGGCCTACAAAATATTCAGCACGCCAAGCCATCCCAACGTGAGCATCTGATTGAAGCATCACCACTACAATCCGGGGAAATACAAAGCATTACCTGGAATTAATGCTCCTTCCAGGATACAATTACTCCGAAGAGTATCAGAAACAGTGATAGATAAGTGACGCTAAGTCCAGCGGCCACTGCATCAATCCAAATATGGCTGTAGCCATATTAAAGATCAAATTTAAACAACATATATACAGATCAGAAGCAAACACAAAAACTTCAATATAAGTACAAAATATAGAAATAATAACAATATACAATGATAAAATCTCAAATTGGAATCAAACAAAATACCAAAAATGTCAACAGAAAAAGTCCGTCATGTCATAACAAAAGCGCAACGGAAATTTAATATCTCTAAACTTGTAACTATACGCTTGTGTAACACGTGTTATCAGCAGTCACTGAACAGCGGATTAGATCTAAAATTGCAACACACAGAGTTAGCTTAACACTTCACACCAAGAGAGAACACGAAGTACGTCCACGGCACTCTTTTGTACGAAAATTAAAATACACGGGGTTTTTACAGAAAAAGGGTGGGTAGTGTACCAAAGTCTTATGAGTCATCCTGTAAGTTCAGAGCACTCAGGGCTTGTTCTTCAGCTTCCAAAGCGTTTATGTTTGATTGCCCTGAAATAGAAAGTAAACAGAACGGGTTAGCAACATCATACATAGTGATTTTGACTTTTTTACACCACCCCGTCTCCTAATGAGGCACTGTCCTCAATGCCTCGTCTCAGACGAGGATAAGCTGCTCCTCCTTCAGCCGGTATCTCATAAAAACTAGTAGCAGGTGGTGGATCTGTGAACCGAGCATCAGCAGGTACTGTTGTCCGATCTGGCTTTGATTGTAGTGCACCGTTATTACGTCGTCCTGAGGTCGTTGCAGGTTACGTAACACAACCGTCGTGGGGGATTGGATGAGGACGATTTCGAAGGGGCCGCGCCAAGTCTGGTGGAATTTACTGCAACTCCCTATTGATGTCATGGGGCGGAGTAACCAGACACGGTCTGCAACCTTATACACTGGTCTTTGCACCTGACGATCATACATATCTTTTTGACGGTCAATAGCCGTGCACGAGTTGATGTTGACTAGGCGGTACGCATCAGCCAGGCGGTTACGGAGAGTACGGATTTACGGGATGTGTTCTCGTTCTTCACACGGTAGCAAAGGTGACTGTATCTCTACCGGGAGGCGTAGTTTATGCCCGAATAGTAAAATAGGTGAGAATCCCGTAGACCCATGTACTGATGTTCGATAAGCTAGCATGCATTGAGGAAGCACCTCATCCCACAACTCGGATGACGATCTGCTGATGAACGATTGTAAAATAGCTTTAATGGTTCTATTTGTCCTTTCGACTAGACCGTTACATTCTGGGTGACGTGCGGTAGTATGCGTCTTCCTTATTCCTAATAACTTGCATATTTCGTCAATGAGATGACTTTCAAAGGCCGGGCCTTGGTCGGAGTGGAGTGAGAGTGGGGCACCATAACGGGAAACACAATGGCCAATGAAAGCACGTGCGACAGTTAGGGTGTCTTGCTGTGGAATTGGTACTGCTTCGCACCATGTAGTAAAATAATCTACTATAACTAATATGTAGTGATTTCCTTTTTTTGTTGTAGTCAATGGTCCCATAATATCGATACCAACTCGCTGGTGCGGTCCATTTGTTCTCATCGGCATTAAAGGTGCACGTGGTGTTTGTTTGGGCTATTTTATGTGGCAACACGTGTTACAGTTTTTGTAAAAGTCAGTAACATCTTCATGAATAGACGGCCACCAAATGAGCTGGCGAACAACATATTCAGTTCTTCGTTCACCTGCGTGCCCAAGTTCGCGATGGGTCTTTACTTTCAGTACTGTAAGTAGGGGTCGTCTGGACTCATTAACTAGGAATAGCTTGTTACCATATGATTTTAAGTTGCTCCATTTGTTACAAATACGAAGCGTAGCGAGAGGTTAGTCTCTTAACTCCCTCATGGACGGCTAATTGTTCCCATGTAATTGTCTTTGATAAATAATCTGTAAATCCGTATCTGCTGCTTTCAGCGAGGACCGGACTCAGAATTGCAGCAACGGTATCTGTGGACAGAGGCAGGCGAGAGACAGAATATGCATTTGTATGTCTATTCCCCGGACGATACTCGCATGTGAAGTCAAATTCTTGCAACCGTTCCT